CGCAGCAGCTCTTCGCGCAAATCGCCAAGATATAAGCGGAGATGCGAGCAACGACTGAACGGTCGCGATTGGAGAACGAGCAGCTGCGGAACGAACTGCAGCGCGTTACGCAGCTCCTCTCGACCATAAACATTCCTGCTTCGACGACTTCGCAGCAGTCGCAGCGTCAGTTCGAGGTTCCGAAACTTCGCTCGCCGGAATCGTTCGACCCTAGCGATCGAAAATCCGGCGTCAGGCAGTGGCTCGCGACGATGGAAATTTATTTCGTGGCGATCGGATGGTCGACGACGGAGTACGACGGCAAGAAAATTCGTCCCGCGACAACGTTGATGCGCGGTCCAGCTCTGGAGTGGCTCAGAAGCAATAGTAGCATTTTCCAGGGCGAAGCCATGTGGCAGCAGTTCCGGGCAGACCTTCTCAAACGTTTTGAGCCGATTAATTCCACTTATATTGCGCGCGAAAAATTACATCACCATAGGCAATTCGAGAGTGTCGCGCAATACACGCAGCAGATGGAGGAATTTTATAATCGCATTCCCAACATTACCGAGGGCGAAAAAATTCAGTCCTACATCGCGGGGCTGAAAACCGACATTCGGCGCCAGGTTGTAGCAGCAAATTGTAGCAGCTACAGCGAAATCGTATCGGCCGCGGAGCGTTTTGACTTGGTTAACTCCGGAACATGACGGCCCCACGTCGTCGGATCACGACAAGGGGATCGCTCGGCTTCAACCACGTTCGCCGACCCCATGGAAGTTGACAAATTCGACGCGAAATCACGACCTGCAAAAAACAAAACGTTTTGCGAATTTTGCGGCTGAAACGGACATCGGATTGTCGACTGTTTTCACATGAAATCTGCACGTGCGGCATTCCGAGCTCGTGGGAGTGGCAAAACTAAAGACAAAAAGTCAAAAAACGGATCTCGCCAGTGATTGCGGATCGTGCTGGTGAGGAAAAGCAGATCCGAAAGCGTTAGCGAAATCTGGACCGAATCGAAATTGAAGAACAGCATTGGGCGCGAGATTTGGAGAATCAAGGGCGAAATCCCAAGCCCCTTGACCGAAATTTGTCAAAGGGATTCGCCGAGGAAAAGAAAACCTCCGCGAAAACAGACTCGACCAAGACGGGAACTCTCCAATTCGACCCCGGAAAAAAACAGAATTCGTTGAAGTTATCTTTCAAAGATGCTTTAATGAAGACTGGTGATTTTCGCAGGTCCGGAGCCATAAAAAAATTCCGGGAAGAACTCCAGAGGAAGCAGACAATTAAAGAAGTGGTATTGGTGCCTACGGAGCTGGGGAAAAAATTAAGGAGTGTGGAAAGGAGTAGACCTTTTCACGGCGTCAACGTCCTCTCCCGGAACCAGCCCAAGACGACTCTCCTCTCCCCAGGGAAGAACCCTATGGAGCTGAAGCAGCTGAAGAGGCAGCTGGGAGTTCAAAAGAAGCGGCGGAAACTCCAAAAACCCCTCCAGGATGCATCCAAAAGATCGCAGGCGTCAACCGGATCCACCCCCTCAGGGTCAACCTGTACGGTTACTACCTCTACTCCTGGCGTTAGAGAGGAGCTTTTCTCCACGCAGCCCAGGCCAGCTGGTTGTCCAGGAGCAAAGAGTGGAACCACGGTGTGTACTGAATATTGGGATGTACCCTATGATCCTATTAATGAGACTATTTTTGGGTACTCCGAGCAACGCTCACCACTCCTGCTCGAGGTGATCTGCAACGGACAGCGCCTCCAAGCACTCGTGGATAGCGGGGCGTCGCACATCGTCTATGACAAAAAGGCAATCGATCGACTCGGAGGTGACATCAAGTCCTCAAGCTTTTCCGCAACGATGGTGGATGGCAGTAAACTACCTATCTACGGGGAAACACGGTTACTACTCCAGATTGGACCCCTTCGATGGAAGCCTGCTCTCCCCGTCACGAATATCAAAGGACTCGACGTAATCTTCAGGAGAGAATTTCTGAAAAAGTTCAACCCCGAGATCAACTGGGTTAACCGGACGGCCAACATCAACAACAACGGGAGGAAAATCAGCCTTCCCAAATGGGACGACACGGGAAATATTCCAGTCGAGACACTCGCACGCTTTGAAAAGGACGTCAAACGGACCACGGCGGGATTCATGGCGATAGTCAACGAAGCAGACAACGGAGAGAAGCAGACCCAGGAACTTCCTCCAGCAGTCAAGAAAATTCTTGAAGAGTTCCAGGACGTTCTCCCCGACGATTTACCTGATCAACTACCGCCATACCAAACACATCAACATGAGATCGTAGAAGAGCCGGGGTCCAAGCCAACGTTCCGAGCACCATACCGGCTGAGCTCGACAGAGCTTGCCGATATGACAAAACAAATAGAGTATCTCCTGGAGAAAGGGCTGATTTGACCTTCGACTTCGCCGTACGGAGCTCCAGTTCTCTTCACTCCGAAGCCAGGCGGAAGTCTGCGAATGTGCATCGACTACCGAGCCTTGAACAAGCTGACGGTAAAAAATAAATACCCGATACCACGGATCGACGACTTACTCGATCAACTTCGCGGTGCTACGGTATTCTCCAAGCTCGACCTCAGATCGGGATACTGGCAAATTCGTATGGCGGACAACTCTATCCATAAAACCGCCTTTCGAACTCGGTATGGGTCATACGAGAATCTCGTGATGCCATTCGGACTCACTAACACACCAGCCACATTTCAGGCGGAAATGAACCACATCCTTCGGCCCCTTCTGGACGAGTGCGTGGTGGTATATTTGGACGATATCGTGATCTACTCGAAAGACATGAAGAAGCACGTTGAGCATCTGCGACGGGTGTTTGAAATTCTTCGACGAGAACGCTTCTACGTGAAACTATCCAAGAGCGAGTTTGCGTTGAAAAAAGTCCAGTTCCTTGGACATATGGTGAGCGCTCAAGGAGTTCACGTGGATCCTAAGAAGATCGAAGCAGTGCGAACGTGGAAGACCCCTGAGAATGTGAAGGAGTTACAACAGTTCCTTGGATTCGCCAACTACTACAACCGGTTCGTACCGAACTACGCCAAGATTGCCGCACCATTAACGAACCTGTTGAAGAAGAATACACCATATCAATGGTAGGCGAAGCACCAGGAAGCCGTGGAACAACTTAAAACCGCACTCACGTCCGCACCTGTCCTTATCTTGCCAGACCCTGAACTTGACTATGTCATTGAGGCCGATGCTAGCGATCAAGCAGTGGGCGCAGTACTCATGCAGGATCAAGGGAAGGGACTGCAACCCATTGCATACCTCAGTAAAAATCTTCACGGGGCAGAACTCAATTACCCCATCCATGACAAAGAGGCCCTCGCCATCGTCAACGCATTTAAGGCATGGAGGTGTTATCTTGAAGGAAGAAAAACGACCGTCTACACCGACCACTGCAGCCTCAAGTATCTGAAGACCCAACCAACACTCTCCAGGCGGCAGGTCCGGTGGATTGACTTTCTCGAAACCCACTTCCATTACGACATCGTGTATAAGCCGGGGCACAAGAACAAGGCAAACGCACTGAGTCGCCTAGCACACGTTGCCGCCCTACAAGTCGATGGCATGAATCCACTTTTGAAGGGACTCTTCACGCATGGATACACCATCGACCCCGAAGTCTCTGTAGCAGAAAAGCGCCATCTTCTACATTGGGATCAAGACATCGCATACCGCAAGGGATCCACAAAAATATGGGTACCTCATTACCCTCCTTTATGCCAGTTACTGCTCGAAGAATATCATGATGTTCTCTATGTTGGATGCACGTCATTCTGAGTGCATGTCATCCTAACGTCCTGCCGAGTGCTCGTGCTATTTGTGCTTGCATGATTTGCATGAGCATATGTCATTATGCATGGCTGTTGGATATTGTCGTCTCTGTGTTTTTTCTCCAAGTCTAAATGCTTGATCATGCAGGAGAAATCCAGAGCTTTCCAACGATACCAAGGTCGCCTTATTCCGACCAAGATCGCCCAAGTTACAAGATTTCCAAGACTTGGATTTCTTATTACCTTTTGGGGTTATATCTAAGTTGGGTGATTACTTGGGACATGACTATAAAGGGATCTTTGGTTGGGTGGTTAGGGAAGGCAACTTTGACTTTTGGATTGGGGTGGCTATAAGTTTCTAGCATGGGTTGCAAATGTTGCAATACCTAGGCAAAATCCAACTAGATTGGATTTTGCATGTGACACCTCAAGGACCTCATGATGAGGGTTGCATCCTTGCTGCTAGGAAGGTTCCTACCATCCTTCCCTAGCTCTTGGAGAACCCCTTCCCTCTCATGGTTCTCTTGGAGGTTCCCAACTCCAACTTTCTATGCCTACATGCTTGTACTTCCCCTACCATTCTAGTCATGCAGCTGCTGGATGTTTTCACATGGTTCTCACTCTCTAAACCATCTTTACGACTAATTCAACTTGTAGATGGTAGCTAAGCCTAAGGCGCAACTTCCTACTGAGCGGATTTGCGTTTAGTTGAGTAATGAGTTCGTCGTAAGTTCTCAGGTAACAGATCCTGAACAACAAGTGGTATCAGAGCGGGTAGTCGACTTCGAGACGACGAATCATCGTGAATTCTCAACCAATAATATCGAGTGAGACCAGTTTCTAGTAGCTTTGCATGGGAACGTTCGATTGGTGGTCAAACCGCATTCTAATTCGAAGTATCCAGTCCGCGACGGCGTTTCTCGTAGAATCAAAATTTCTGGCAGAATTCTCTCAAACGATTTCTCAAGTTTCCACCGTTCATAAGGCCTCAATATGGTTGGTACGAACTCCGGAGGTGCTACTGGCAAGATGGATAGAAGTAGAGAGGCTGGAGAGCACGGGGAGTTGCTGGTGGAGGAGTTGGGACTCACCAACCAGCCAGCCCTACGCTACCTACGTCTACTACACCATCTCCAACAACCGTGGATCCCGTGAAGGCGTTCTCTATTGAGAAATTCACGGGGGAGGACTACGAGCACTGGGGCTTCCGCATGAGGCTGATGTACACCCAATACAAGCTATTGGATCTGGTGGAGGGGAAGGAGAAGATGCCGGAGGCCGCGGAGCTGAAAGGAGCGTGGATGAAGCGATTGTTCGACGCGTACATGCTCATGGTGCAAGCGGTTGGCGGACGACAACTTGACCACATCAAGGACCTCTTGGGTGATCCAGAGTATGGCCCCAAGGATTGGAGGAAGCTTCTGGATGTGCACTCACCGACACATGCTACCGGCATCGTGCTACTCGCGCGGCGGCTGCGCGACATCAAGTTCGTTGATGGAGAGCCGATGCAACCGGTGTTGGATGAGATGCGGGACATCTTTACGAAGCTTCAAGGAGGCGGTGTGGTGTACCCGGAGCTCGTGCAATGCGTGGAGATCGTGATACGGCTGCCGGAGTCGTGGTCTGCACTAGCGATCAACCTCAACTCCCAACAACCCCAATGGAGCGTGGATTACATTCGCGTGCGCATCCTAGAGGAGGACTTGCGGCGGCGGAGTGTGGAGCGCTCGGAGAAGGGGGCTGGCTATGGAGTTGGAGGTGGAAAGAGTGGCTTCAAGAAGAAGTGGAAGGGCAAAAACAAGGACAACCCTAAGGAGGATGGCGGCGGGGGTCAAGGGGAGGTGTGCTTCTACTCCAAGAAGCGCGGACATCGTTGGCGGAAGTGCTACCAACGACCCAAGGATTGGACCCCGCCTTCATCGAGCAACCTGCATGGTGGCAAGAGGAGTGGGGGAGTCATGGGAGCTAGTGGTGAGGAGAAGGAGGAGGAGAAAGGCGGCAAATCTGAGGAGCGGAAGGCCGGGTTCTTCTTTTTCGTGAACGAAGGCGCAACCGACCTCGCTATGGCGGCCAAGGTTCTCCTACACCCCCTCACCCATTGGGTGATTGACTCGGGAAGCTCCTGGCACATGACTCCTCGTGCGGACCTACTCGATGAGATTCAGCCTGCACCTATCTCTACGGTCACATCCGCGACGGGCGCCAAGGCCAAGGTCATGGGCATGGGATGCGCCAAGTTCATGGGAGCGGATGGAGAGCTCGTGGGGCTGAAGAATGTGCTATGGGTGCCGGACTTGTGCGCGAACCTGATTTCTACCGGCCGGTTGGGAGATGCGGGTGTGAACACCGAGACGATTGGCTCGGAGCGCTATCGTGCTTACAACGATGAGCGCCTCATTTGGGACCTGCAGTGGAAGGGAGATGTCCACAAGCGGATGTGGCAGATCCCGGTCCTCCCTTGGCGGAAATTGGGCAAGGCGGCAGCGGTGGCATCTGTGGAGGAGAGTGTCATCGAGGAGGAGCAGCAAGGTGTGCAAGGAGAGGAGCTGATTGGAGGAAGCGCGGCGGTGAAGGCGTCGGCTACCTCGGGCCAAGCGGATTGGGAGACTTGGCATCGGCGGCTCGCACACGTGGCTGTTTCAACACTGGAGGTGATGCATAAGGAGAAGTGCGTGCATGGGCTGCAACTGTGCGCGGTTCCCGTTTCCACGTGCGGAGGGATCAGCGAAGGCGCCGCTGGAGGTGGTGCACATGGACCTGGTGGGTCCTATGAGGACTGAGGGGACTGGGGGAGTGCTGTACTTCCTTACCATGGTGGACGAATGGAGCCGTTTCACGTGGGCGCGTCCCTTGTCCAAGAAGAGCGATGCTGCGGCGGCGATCAAGGAGGATTGGTTGCCGATGGTGGAGCGGCAAGCGATGCGGCTGGTGAAGGTGCTGAGGAGCGACTGAGGTGGAGAGTTCCTTGGAGCGGAATTCACCAAGTTCCTCAAGAGAAATGGCATCCGACATCAGCTGACCTGCCCAGGAACACCACAGCAGAACGGCATTGCTGAGCGTGCCAACCGGACCATTGGCGAGGCGGCTAAGACCTTGTTGGGGGCTGCTGGGATGCCCTACAAGTTCTGGCCTGATGCAGTTTGCCATGTCATCACGGTAAAGAACAGGGTCTTGACTCATGTTGGCGACAAGCATTGGGTGCCGTACGAGCGTTGGCTTGGGAAGAAGCCATCCATTGACATGCAGCGGGTATGGGGCTGCATGGGGCTTGTGATGGTGCCTAAGGAGCAGAGGCACAAGCTGGAAGTTGCTGCTGTGTGGGATGTGCGCGCGCATCCTAACTTTGTAGTTACAGTCATTCTCGTCCAACCACTCGGTTTCCCGTTGTCATCTTGATTCTAGTACTACTTCGCAGACAAGCCACATTTACTACTTCGTTTTACCCAACTGCAACGCACGCACTTCCCCGCATGTTCACCGTGAAGAGTAATAGTTTCAGACCTGCGACTATACTTGACGTGCGTTCAATTGAAAGCGAAGTGCGCCGGAGGAGACAGCAACTGGTGCGCCAAGGACGAAATCGCCAATGGCGCACGCCAAGGACAAAATCGCCACTGGCGCCAGTGGCGCGCGGCAGGGACGAAATCGCCACTAGCGCCAGTGGTGCGCGCTAGGGACGAAATCGCCTCTGGCGCCATTGGCGCGCGCTAGGGACGAAATCGCCATTGGTGCCAGTGGCGCGCGTCAGAGACGAAATCGCGACACGCTCGCCTGTGGCACTGCGTCAGTGGCGAAATCGCCACACGCGCGCCTGCGGCACGGAATCGCCAATGACGCGGAAGTGACACGAAATGCCTCTGCAGCGCCTAAGGCGTTTGACTGGGAGTCAACCTGGGAGTCAACCACCATATATAAGTGCTGCAAGTTCTGTTTTATTTTTTATTATTATTATTTCTCTTTGTTATGTCATCTTCTTTGTTGTCTATTAATCCCCTTGCCGTTTCAATCCCTCGGTGGTAGAAAAACGGTCTCAACACCACATAAGTGGGAATTTACTAGTCGCGGTGGAAAAAATCGCACCAGCGACAGGATCTACTGCACGCACACGGAAGGACATCTCCAAACGAAAAGATGGGGCCGAGGGTCCCCGTGTGGCCTGAGAGTCGCTCCCCAGGGGGGGAAGGGGATCGAGGGTCCCTGTGCGACTTGTGAGCCGTTCCCCATGGGGGGAAGGGGACCGAGGATCCCCGTGTGGCCCGTGAGCCGTTCCCCAGGAGGGGAAGGGGACCGAGGGTCCTCGTGTGGCCTGTTAGCCGTTCCCCCGGGAGGGAAGGGGACCGAGGGTCCCTGTGTGGCCTGTGAGCCGTTCCACAGGGGGGGAAGGGGACCGAGGGTCCCTGTGTGGCCTGTGAGCCGTTCCCAAAGGGGGGCAGGGGACCGAGGGTCCCTGTGTGACCTGAGAGGCGTCCCCAGGGGGGGCAGGGGACTGAGGGTCCCCGTGTGGCCTGAGAGCCGTCCCCACGCGGGAATAACTACCCAAAGTCCTATGCTGGCCAGAGGGCCACTACCATGCAGACTCCAATGTTAGATGTGCAAAACCTTTAATTTTTGTATACGTTGATGTCTACCATCCTTGGACATTGCAATGTGTATAACATGAAGAGAGGAGGCTTTAAGCCCCATCTAATCTTTACCGTAAGCTCTTCGATCCACAATGGTTGGTTCGAAGCCCCACCTAAAATTAGGGGAGATTTTGTTTGGAGTGATCTGATTACAAAAGAAGGGGGAGATTTTGTTGGTAGAGTGCAACTAAGGAAGGCTTGTGAATCTCACTAGACCTAAACCTCAGTCATTGCTTCTTTTGCAGTGCAATGCGGAAGGAATACGGTAACGGCTTTCACCATCGTGCGTTGCACATCCAACTTGTTCTATCGTACATGCTTGACAAGAAACGTGCGTGCTACCCATCAACAGTCCGCGTATCGTATGAACATGAATGTGCCGTTGGGAGTTACGGATTGAATTTTCGTGTCAAGAAAATGCTACGTCACGTTGGTGTCTATTTCAATTGCATACACTCGTGTTTTAATTCTTGACAACTCGCGTTGTATTGTCAAGGAACATCAAAACGTTTGAAGTGCATAGCACATCTGGAACATTTGATTGCAAAATACAACTTCTACATTGTTTCACAATCTACGCTGAGGGTCACGTCTGTTGTCAGAGGTTGTTTCCTAGGGGGAAAGGGGCAGGAGATTTCTGTTGGCTAGAGGGTTGTTCCCCAAGAAAGGGAGGCTGGTATGACACTTGGTGTGGCCTTACAATGGAGATGCTTATTAAGAGTTTGGTTGCAAGGAAGAGTCAACTTGCTTTCAAATGTGTCGCTAAATGCAAAGAGTAGGAGTCCAACGTTTTTAGTCCCGTATATACGGTATGCTTGGACGCACACACCATGCGGTGAACTTGGAAGCATATCGCCCAAACTCTCTCCCATTTGCGTATAATTTGCATGGTCATCGGCAAGCAAGCACATTATTTGGCCCGACGTGGCCATATAGTAGTTTGGAGCTGCTCATTCAATCACCTAATCAAGGTCCTCATTACTGTATAGATCGACCCGTTGATGGTCGAATTCCCATACCATTTTGATACACCATGAACTATTAGGTACTTGTTACAAAAAGTCTTGCTCGACTAAATACCGTACTCGCGCTGCGGTACTCTCCCTAAAGAACTGAAGGGATGAGCCAGCTCTAATCGATAATTGTAGATATGGGCCATGGCAATAGAGACAAGCGAGTGCTATGTTGAAAGAGCGTTGCTATACAATGACTGATCATTCTGTGAATCGAAATCCATATTCCAAATAATGACATGGTCGACATTTGCCTAGCGTTCATAAGGTGCACTCCTTTGCGCAACTCTCGCGCCTCAGACTACACCCAAGCCATCCAGCTCCTTCCTTGGGTTGCGATTTCTCATCATGATGGTCGTGTGCCAGTGGGCAATGTCAATTTGTCCTCTCGTGTGTTCTAGCGAACACATGCGACCATGAATGACAGCTCATGACAATAATACTTATCCAGCATAAACTCAGTTGCCGTTCACTACGTCACATATTCAACAGATCAACACCAACTACTACCAGTTCCAACCATATACCGCCGCACCAACAACCAGGATATCAAGGGAAAGAGCAACCTCCCTGAACAACAGTCCAAACCCCATCGACACGGTGATTGCAATCACCAACGGCACCCTCCTCAGCACGTTGTCGATGCCATCAACTGCAACTATACGTCTCCTACGTCCCCAATTGCTCATGTCTCAGATAACCCAATTCTAATGAAGCACGTTGCCATTGCAAGAACAGAGAGCAAGCTTTCTCAATATGAATTTTTTTGAAAGTGTGTAACACTTTCTAAAAATGCGTATTGTGAAAGCGCAGCTGACTGTAGCGCAGCAAGGCAATTGCGAATTACAATTCGCCGAGTATATAACGAGGGTTGGAGGCCATTTGGCCTCCACCCACGTCTTCAGTCGAACTTTGTAGTTACAGTCCCTACCCACCCACCCTGGTCGTATACATGTACAATTAATAGTTGGACGAGAATGCTGTAATTACCCCAATTCTAATGAAGCACGTTGCCATTCTAATGAAGCACGTTGCCATTGCAAGAACAGAGAGCAAGCTTTCTCAATTGGGTGATTACTTGGGACATGACTATAAAGGGATCTTTGGTTGGGTGGTTAGGGAAGGCAGCTTTGAATTTTGGATTGGGGTGGCTAGAAGTTTCTAGCATGGGTTGCAAATGTTGCAACACCTAGGCAAAATCCAACTAGATTGGATTTTGCATGTGACACCTCAAGGACCTCATGATGAGGGTTGCATCCTTGCTGCTAGGAAGGTTCCTACCATCCTTCCCTAGCTCTTGGAGAACCCCTTCCCTCTCATGGTTTTCTTGGAGGTTCCCAACTCCAACTTCCTATGCCATAATGTTTGTACTTCATCCACCATACTAGTTATGCGACTGCTGGACGTTTTTATATGGTTCTCACTCTCTAGACCATCTTAACAACTGATTCAACTTGGAGATGGTAGATAAGCCTAAGGCGCAACTTCCTACTAAGCGGATTTGCGTTTAGTTGAGTAATGAGTTCGTCGTAAGCTCTCAAAGTGACGGATCCTGAACAACAAGTGGTATCAGAGTGGGTAGTCGACTTTGAGACGACGAAATTTATGGCAGAATTCTCTCCAAACGATTTCTCAAGTTTCCACCATTCATAAGGCCTCAATATGGTTGGTACGAACTCCAGAGGTGCTAATGGCAAGACGGATAGGAGTAGAGAGACTGGAGAGCAAGAGGGAGTTGCTGGTGGAGGAGTGAGGACTCACCAACCAGCCAACCCTACACTACCCTCAACTTCTACACCATCTTCTACAACCGTGGATCCTGTGAAGACGTTCTGTATTGAGAAGTTCATGGGGGAGGACTACGAGCACTAGAGTTTCCGCATGAGGCTGATGTATACCCAATACAAGCTATTGGATTTGGTGGAGGGGAAGGAGAAAATGCCGGAGGCCGCGGAGCTGAAAGGAGCGTGGATGAAGAGATCGTTTGACGCGTACATGCTAATGGTGCAAGCGGTTGGTGGGCGACAACTTGACCACATCAAGGACCTCTTGGGTGATTCAGAGTGTGGCCCCAAGGCTTGGAGGAAGCTTCTGGATGTGCACTCACTGACACATGCTACCGGCATCGTGCTACTCGCGCGGCGGCTGCGCGACATCAAGTTCGTTGATGGAGAGCCGATGCAACCGGTGTTGGACGAGATGCGCGACATCTTCACGAAGCTCCAAGGAGGTGGTGTGGTGTACCCGGAGCTCGTGCAATGCGTGGAGATCATGATACGGCTGCCGGAGTCGTGGTCTGCCCTTGCGATCAACCTCAACTCTCAACAGCCCAAGTGGAGCGTGGATTACATTCACGCACACATCCTAGAGGAGGACCTGCGGCGTCGGAGTGTGGAGCGCTCGGAGGAGGGGGCTGGCTATGGAGTTAGAGGTGGAAAGAGTGGCTTCAAGAAAAAGTGGAAGGGCAAGAACAAGGATAACCCTAAGGAGGATGGCGGCGGGGGTCAAGGGGAGGTGTGCTTCTACTGCAAGAAGCGCGCACATAGTTGGCGGAAGTTCTACCAACGACCCAAGGATTGGACCCCGCCTTCATCAAGCAACCAGCGTGGTGGCACGAGGAGCGGGGGAGTCATGGGAGCTAGTGGAGAGGAGAAGGATGAGGAGAAAGGCGGCAAATCTGAGGAGCGGAAGGCCGGGTTCTTCTTCTTTCTGAACGAAGGCGCAACCGACCCCGCTATGGCTGCCAAGGTTCTCCTACACCCCCTCACCCATTGGGTGATTCACTCCGGGAGCTCTTGGCACATGACTCCTCGTGCGGACCTACTTGATGAGATTCAGCCCGCACCCATCTCTACAGTCACATCCGTGACGGGCGCCAGGGCTAAGGTCATGGGCATGGGATGCGCCAAGTTCATGGGAGCGGATGGAGAGCTCGTGGGGCTGAAGAATGTGCTATGGGTGCCGGACTTGTGCGCGAACCTGATTTCTACCGGCCCATTGGGAGATGCGGGTGTGAACACCGAGACGATTGGCTCGGAGCGCTATCGCGTCTACAATGATGAGCGCCTCATTTGGGACCTGCAGTGGAAGGGAGATGTCCACAAGCGGATGTGGCAGATCCCGGTCCTCCCTTGGCGGAAATCGGGCAAGGCGGCAGTGGCAGCATATATGGAGGAGAGCGTCACCGAGGAGGAGCAGCAAGGTGTGCAAGGAGAGGAGCTGATTGGAGGAAGCGCGGCGGTGAAGGCGTCGGCTACCTTGGGCCAAGCGGATTGGGAGACTTGGCATCAGCGACTCGCACACATGGCTGTTTCAACACTAGAGGTGATGCACAAGGAGAAGTGCATGCATGGGCTGCAGCTGCGAGGCGTGCATGCAAATCAAGTTTGCGCGGTTCCCGTTCCCACGAGCGGAGGGATCAGCGAAGGCACCATCGGAGGTGGTGCACATGGACCTGGTGGGTCCTATGAGAACTGAGGGGACTGGGGGAGTGCTGTACTTCCTTACCATGGTGGACGAATGGAGCCGTTTCACGTGGGTGCGTTCCTTTTCCAAGAAGAGCGATGCTGCAGCGACGATCAAGGAGGATTGGTTGCCGATGGTGGAGCGGCAAGCGATGCGGCTGGTGAAGGTGCTGAGGAGCGACCGAGGTGGAGAGTTCCTTGGAGCGGAATTCACCAAGTTCCTCAAGAGGAACGGCATTCGACATCAGCTGACCTGCCCTGGAACACCGCAGCAGAACGGCATTGCTGAGCGTGCCAACCGAACCATTGGCGAGGCGGCTAAGACCTTGTTGGGGGCTGCTGGGATGCCTTACAAGTTCTGGCCTGAAGCTGTTTGCCATGTCATCACGGTCAAGAACAGGGTCTTGACTCATGTTGGCGACAAGCATTGGGTGCCGTACAAGCGTTGGCTTGGGAAGAAGCCATCCATTGACATGCTGCGGGTGTGGGGCTGCATGGGGCTTGTGATGGTGCCTAAGGAGCAGAGGCACAAGCTGGAAGTTGCTGCTGTGTGGGCTGTCCATCTTGGGATGGCTTCTGACTCGAAGGGGTGGCTGATGTGGGACCCCAAGAGCAAGAGGACGCTCGTCAGTCGTGACGTCAAGTTTGTGGAGGACGTCATGTACAAGGATTGGCAGCAGCAGCAGCAGGTGCAGATAGGCTTGCGTCTACAGGAGATTGAGCGGTCTGCAGTGGAGGAGGTTCAGCTGCACCTTGAGGATCTCCCTAGGTCAAAGCTGACCAGTGACCACAGTGGCGGTGGTGAGCAGCAAGGTGCTGGTCCTGCTGCGGAGGAGGGGTTGGAGGATGAGTCGGCACATGTGGACTCATCAACTCAGCCCGAGTCTGCTGCAAACGCCAAGGTTACCAAGAGGAGTGTGCAGAGAGGAGCTTCATCACATGGGCAGCAGACTGCAACCCGCGAGAAGAGAGTGGCAGCAGCACCCTCAAGGCTGACATATAGCCATTTGGGAGGACCCAAGCAAGGTGCCATAGCGGTTCAGGCGGATGAGGGAGAGGATGAGGAGATGGCGTTCTGTTTCTTCACACCCTTGCCTGGAGAACCAGCCACAGTGGAGGAGGCACTGAGTGGACCCCAGAAGGAGGAGTTGAAGGCTGCTATGGATGCGGAGTTCAACAATCTCATTGAGAATGGGACTAGGGAGCTTGTCGAGTTACCTGAGGGTTGACGGCCGATCAGCAGCAAGTGGGTCTTCAAGGTGAAGATTGGTGCTGATAGTGCGTTGGAGCGGTTCAAGAGCTGCTTGGTTGCCAAGGGTTTTCAGTAGAAGGAGAAGGTCAACATCGGGGAGATCTTCGCTCCCGTTGCTAAGCTAGTGACACTGAGGACTTTAATGGCTGGCGCAGCTGTGAAGGGATGGCACGTGAAGCAGACGGATATCACCACTACGTTCCTCAATGGAGTGCTGTTGGAGGATATCTACATGGCGCAGCCCGACGGCTATAAGGATGGGACCAGCCGGGTGTGCAAGCTTAAGAAGGCCATCTATGGCCTAAAGCAAGCGCCCAAGTGTTGGCACGAGAAGCTGGAGGAGGTGCTGCTAGGTGGAGGCTTCAAGACGTCCCAGGCGGATCACAACTTGTTTCTGCTTGGAGAGGGGGAGCAGCTGCTTTTGCTGCTGGTGTATGTCGACGACATACTGCTGTTCTCACCTTCCATGGAGCAGATTGAGAGGACACAGAAGCAACTGATGGACAACTTCAAGTGCAAGATGCTGGGGGATGTCCACTATTACTTGGGGCTGCAGATTAAGAGGGATGCTGAGACGAGGAGGCCGAAGGTGCATCAGTCACACTACATCTCTGGTGTCATGGAGCAATATGGTGTGATTGGGGGTCGCAATGTAATGACACCGTTCCCTGCGGGCTTCAAACTGAAGAAGGCAGCTAAGGAGGATGATGTACTTGAGGATGGGCAGCAGAATGAGTACCAGTCACTCATTGGGAGTGTGATGTATGCAGCTGTGCATACGCGACCTGATGCTTTATTCGGAGTGGGGCAGCTGGCTAGAGTTGTGCAACGGTCCACTGAGGAGCAGTTGGAGGTGGCAAAGCGCTTGGTGCGCTACCTCGGATCAACGCCATCTCCTGGTGTTCAGTTTTCAGCTAGCGGCCAGATGAAACAGATTGGAGCAGTGTTGGCTTCAGAGGCCACGTAAGCAAGGCGCAGCTGACCACGCCACTGCAGCTCACGAGCAAGGAAGTAGCAAAGAACAATGTGCTTCGTTCTGTGCTCTAGTCTGTGCTCCCGACACAAGGCCAGCATAGCCTTGTTGTCTACGTACAGAATTGGAGGAGAACGAGGCGGCTCTCCTAGGTCACTCAGCAGGTAGGTGAGCCAGCGTAGCTCTTGTGCACCCCTGGCCCCCGCGTAGATCTCAGCCTCACAGCTGGAGCCGAGAACAGAAGACGAGCGGGTAGACCGCCACGAAACAGAGCCGGAACCAAGGCTGAAGGTGTAACCCTGTCACGACCGCTGCGTAGCCTAGTCGTCAGCCCAAGAAGCGTCTGCGTGACCTGCCAGGACCACTGAACGTCGCCCTCCAAGCACTAGCCCCATGCGTGACGTACTGCACAAGTAGCGCAACACCCTCTTCGATGCAGCCACGTGCTCTAGTCGGTGTCTCCCAGGAGCAACATAGCGTGCCAAGATGCTAAGAGGGTATGCAAGGTCAGGTCGTGTGCAGGTCATTAGGTACATGAGGCAGCCAACAAGCTCTGGGTACGGGCCACTCGGCTCTACGAACTCATCTGAAGGCAAAGCCAAGAGCGAGTGGCGAGTAGACAGAGGAGTGGCCTGAGGCGAGGAGTACGAGAAGTCGAAGCGCTGAAGGACCTGCTGCACTATGTGTGACTGAGTCCGGGTAATGGAGCACTGTGCTATGTCCCGGGTGATGTGCAAGCCAAGGTAGCTGCGCAGTTCACCCAGGTCTGTGCATGTGTGTCTCTTCTGCAGCTCGGACTTCACGTGAGCGAGTCAAGCAGTGTCAGCAGTGGCAAAGACCAAGTCGTAGACGTACACGAGGATGTAGAACGGCGGCAAAGAGGTGTCGGTGTGCAGAAACAGCGACGGGTCAGCAGTAGAAGGAGCAAACCCAAGAGCCGCAAGTGTAGTCCTCAGTGTGTCATGCCACTCACGGGGCGCCTGGCGGAGACCGTAGACTGGCCGCCGGAGGCTCCACTGGGTGCCAGGAGGAAACAATCACTAAAGCCAGGTGGGCAGCGCAGCTAGATCTTCTCGTGCAGGCTGCCCTGTAGGAAAGTAGTGCTGAAGTCGAAAGAGTGAAGCTCATATTCGCGCTGAGCGGGGATGTGTAGCAGCACCCGAAGAGTGGTCATCTTCGGGGTGGGAGAGAATGTCTGAAAGTAGTCAACTCCCTGCCGCTTACTAAAGCGTCGAGCCACGTAACGTGCCTTGAAGACAGGCGGAGAACCAGGCGGCCGCTTCACCCTGAAAATCTACATGCCACAGACGATGTTTGTCCCAGGTGTGGGAACCTCATCGACGTAGATGCCTGTGGACTTCCATGAAGCCATCTCTGCGTCCATGGGTGACTGCCACTGTGAGGAGTAGGGACCCTCGATCGCCTCGGCGTACGATCGAGGAGTCCGGATGTCTGGTGCATCCGGGTCTCCCTCAAGGGCAATCAGCGTGGACACGAGATGAGGCAAAGCTGCAGCAAAATATTGGAACTCCTGCTGCCTGTCCTCAAGGACGTCCGTGCTAAGAGCACACTCACCCCCGACGGATGGAGGACAGATAGACTCAGACTCAGCAACAAGACTAGCAGCGTAATCTAGACCACAGCGAGCAGCAAAGACGACAAGCTCACCAACTAAGGCAGACGCACCAGTGGACTCAAAGGAAGGGTTAGTGATAACAGTAGCCAAGAGATGCGTGATAGTAGGACTATCAGCACGAGGAGAGTCATACTGCGGGTCAGCAAGAACAGGAAGAGAGGACTCGGGAGGAGAAGGCAACGGGCCACGCAGAGGAGCAATGGAAGGACGCAGTGCCATCTGGTGTTTGCCTGGGACCGCAGGAGAACGCGGACGCGGAGCACGACGACTAGTGCGAGTAGCACGAACAGGCGACGCTGGACGAGACGCAGGCTCACGACGCTCAGCAAGACCTCCAGTAGGACTAGTGTAGGGAGAAGAAGAAGGTAGGGGGGAGGTGGGCTGTAACTGTGACCACGACTGGACAGGCTGTGGACACTCTAAGGGAGGAGCAAGACTAGTAGAGGGCGGGAGACCAAGAACCTGCTCAAGGAGCGGAACGAAGACGGCCGCGGCCCCGCAGCGCCTCTAGAACCAGCAGGGACAGTACCAATACCCCCAGCGGTAGCACCAGCGCCAAC